AAATAATAAATGTAGAGAAGATGATCAACAGGTAGAGAAAAAATACATTCATGGCAATCAGAGAAAGGGATCAATGTAAGAAGAGCACGCAAGACAGAGAGCAGGTTCAGGTAAGAGACGTAACGGTTGAACTGAAAAGACAAACCAGGCAGACAGACAGGTGTGTAATAAAAAACAGTCAGACATGATCCGTCTGAGGGCTTTTCCACTGAGCGCCGTCAGTCAGGTCTCTGTAGGGATGCTAGGCTGCATTAGATTTGTCCGCAGGCTAAAAGCACACTGCTGACACACACACATTGCACTAATTACCAGTGCCTATTGTAACTCAGTATAATGTCAATTTATTTAAAGTAGTAGAGAGAAAAGCCTAGGGCCTACCCTGTCCTTTCTCCTGTATGTAACAGTCAGCCTAATCGTTATTGGTGAAAGGGGCGGAAATCAGCAAGAGAAAGGCAGAACATTGGGAGGGGTGGGGGGGGGGGGGAATTGAGGGACAGAGAAAGGAAGTCAAATGAACACACAGAGAGAACAGCAAAGAGGAGGAGACAGAAACTGGTGAAAGACAAAACTTAAAAGAAGTGACGTATGATCATGCCCCCAGCTAAAGTACCACCCTTAACAACGACAACCAAAACTGCACGAAACATCTTCGTCTGTGTGGTCTTCACACACACACACTTTTAGACTGAGTGTACAGGTTGGAAAGAGCAAGGTATCTTTTAAAATCACCAGAAATACACAATGTATCATAGCAAGACACTAATAAAGAATGTTCTAATATTTCACTTATCATGAATGGACCACATGTGACAAACTACCCAGGAAATGGAACCAGACTTACTTTATTCTATATTTCTCAATACAAATGGCACTGAAAATAAACCCTTTTGCACTAACCTGATCCAGTTACAACCATTAAATCCTGCGGTCTTTGGGAGTTATGATAAACTTGGCTGAGACATGAGTTGCATTACACATTATTGTCAACTCATTTCAACTCCTGCTGTTTCAATAGAGGTGCAGGACACAAACACGGCAGTGGAAAGCGAGGCCAAAGTGGGTCGCATGTGACAGAAACAAAAAACACTGAAACAGATTGTGGTTCAGGGGGTAACGTGTCACACTTCAATTTGTTAGTTATTTTTGTAGTTTTCCGCTGAAAAATAAAATAATGGAAAAAACGCCTGGCACACGAAATCTGTCTAAACCACCTGCATTTAAGGGGTTAAACACACTTTGTTATGCATTTCAGATTATGTAAGGCCTTCAGCCTAGTAAACAACACTTACTTTAAAAAACCTTTCCAGACACCCAGCTTAAAAAAAAGGCATCTATGTGCCACTTTGAAGGTTTTAGGTATAGGCTTTAGTTGTATTCAGCAAGCAACAGGCCTTGCGTCATAATTGTAGACAGAGTTCAAAAAGGAAAACCAACTATCTGGGAAAATGCACACTTACTGGTGCAACAGTGCTGCTGCCCTGAAAGGAAAACCATCTTCAGCTTCTGTTGATGTTACGAGTGCTCTCTGCTTTCAAAATACTAGTGCTCACATAATCAACACAACACACCTAGGCAGGATTTAGAAAATAGTGACTCGTGCTTTTCCTGAAGAAGTAAACACTCCCCCCTTATAGGTTACAGCATTTTAAACACAACGTTCAAGATTCTTTATAGTGAAAGTTTTCCCATTGACATTTGGTAAAAAGAAGCAGAATAGACGGAGCATTAATAAGAGCTACGCTTTATGAATCCAGGTGATTTGTCATTTATATTCTTTTGAGAGTGGATTTTTCTCCTTCTTAAAGGCTCTCCATCATTTTTTGTAATATAGCATCTGCTTTATCCCAGCTGTCTTTCTTTTAAAAACACATTTAATCATGTCTATTATGATAACTGGGACTCATCTGTCCCTCCATCCATCTTTTAATAAAAAGCCCCACTTATTTCAGTGACAGAGCATCCATTCATCCCCCTTCTGTTTCATTTAGTTAGCACGCACTGCCAGAAGGACACTAGACAGGCCAGCTCCAAGGAAAAAGAAAACATGCACATATTAGGAAGACCTCTTTTCTATTGCTCCTTTATCTACCACTGAATGAATACCGAGTAAGACACCATTTAACAGGTAAGTGTCTTTCAAAAAACAACAGGTGATCCTTTCCTGGAGTATTCTTTTTAAGTGAAACTACATCTTAAACTAAACTTTTCAGCAACATATAGCAGCTACCTACCATTTCTCCACACAGAAAGGGTATCTTAAAAGTCTGTGCCCCAACATCACAAGATATAATGAAGGCACAACAGTTAGTGTGTATCCAAACAATATCTCCTTTTGTTAAGCAGCTTAGGCCTGTGTAGTGATCCTGCTGTGGATTAAGGAAAAAATAAAGCATGTCGAATAGGACGTCGTGTTTTAGGAGTATACTGCCCTGTCCATGGGAATTGTATTAGCAGCTACCTAACTCATTTACATTTGAGGCATTTAGCCGACACACTCATGCACAGCCATTTCCTGCAGTGCTAATGAAAGGTTAAGAGCACACGGGTGATTCATCGTATATGCAAGTAGCCTAATAAAAAAAGACCAAAAGACATTTTTTACAACAGATCATGTCCACATAACACAACCTGTCATATCATTGTGAATCTCTCAAGACTTTTCAAATAAAGTCTTGCATCTTAATCCCAGGTCCAAAGACTTCTGCCATACACAGAGCTCTTCTATGTCAAGCTCAATACAATGTTTCACTGTGGTCAGATGTCTCTTCATCAACGGGACAAAATGAGCCTTTGGTCTAACTTTAGTAGGTCATCGCCTGAGGAATGCAGCATTTTGTAAAACAAACCAGTGCTTGAAAATGAGACACTTACATATTTGTAAATCTTTCAAAGGGTTTCTATATTCTATATTGACACTCAAATTCTGACAACGTTTTATTTGAAACATAATATTAAGTATAACCGGACCAGGTAACCCACCGTGTTTTAGTCACATAGTAATAAGCCTTGAAGTACTAGGTCACCTCATTAAACTGAATGACATCACTATAACTTGCCTTTAGAGGTTCATCCTTTGTATTTTAGCTTAACTGGTCCTGAAATGTATTTTTGTCTGTAGATTGGTTAGTAGCAAGGTTTGAAATTAGGACACACACGTTATTCTTCTCTTCTTCAAAAGGGCCGTACTGTTTTGGAGCATGTGCTGTTGAACTACTAGAGGCACTATAGTACTCTTTATACCTATGGGCTACAACAGCAGTCAGGCAGGAGCACATGATGCCTTCCATCGTACAGGCCTGTGTTGTTCCCATCAGAAATGGAAGACCCTCGGGGAAGTGTACACAAGCCTCGCCTGATAATCTACTGTCATGGATGTCATATGTGTGACCCACAGCATTGAGGCAGAAGACTCAACAATGTCAGCCCACTGTCCTTTATTGCCTTCTTGGATGATGTGTAGAAAATGCTGAACAAGTGATCGCTAATCAAAATACACTGAGGAGAATTGCTGTTTTGCGTCATAGGGCTGGAATTTGAACGGGCGTGAAACCAAGTCATAACACATCTGTTTGCCTTTACACACGCACACACGTACACATACACTCTCAGACATAACAGGTGCACACACACACAGTGCTCCCTCAGCTGCGGTCACAGCTGTTTCACAGCAGCCAAACCCCACTTGTGTGAGCATTGAAACAGAATCTGTAATCCCCCTTTTTACCCTTAGCCAGCATGTACCAAACTCCAAACTTGACCAATATTGCTTTAGCAGAGATGAACACTGTGCATATGGGGCATGATAAATATGATTAACCTCTAAATGCAAGATAGTAAAACTAGAACTAAAGATTCAACCAATCTGCCCAAGTCGCTGTAAACAAATCTGATGAATTCAACTTGTTTTTAACCCAGCAACTAGATGTTACACTTCACCAGTGTTTCAGTATCTGCCAATGATTCTAGCAGAAGAGAAACTGTGCAAGCCATATTCTTTCTTCAAGCATTTAGACTTCCAAACACATAAAGCATTGTTGAATTCTGTCATTAGATTAGAAATGTTACTTGCAGATCATTGAACTTAAGAAGGTAAGATAAGTTCCCTGATCATCACAATGGAGGAACTCATTGAGGAAACAGAGGAAACAGAACCCCCATTCACGAGGTAACAGCCCCCGGCTCCGCAGCACACTGATGCGATGTAGGCCACGCTACTCTCAGCAGCACACAGGAGAACAGAGCTGTGGAGCAACTTGCATCTTCTGCCAGTGAGAAACACAGGGGAGTGATGCAAAAGGAGGCATGGCATGACTTCTGCTGAAGGCATCGCCCAGTGTGACTTTGATAAAGTTGTGATGTGGGCCTATTTCTGTTTTCTGGCAGTTTGGATCTAACTTTCAGAGCATGTTCTGGTAAAAGGACCGTTCAAGTATCAACATACCACTTAAGCTGACAATGTGGTAAAACATTTTGGCGGCAATTGTCGAATTCTAATTTCATAAAAATGTCTTGTAACTAAGTCAAGTGAAATTAGTGGAAAGCTTTTATCAAGGTCTGTAGTCACGGCACAATTTGCTCTTTTTAAACCTTTTTTATTGAACAGTTTATTAAATGATTTGACCTGAAAAGCTATTTATAGTCAAATTAGACCATTTAAGGTCTTCATGGTTCAAATCACAAAGATATAAAGTACTATTTTGGATCATGACAGTCGGACAGACAAGGAGAATGGAAACCTAGATTATGTGAGTAGAAGATAAGGGCTCCGGCTGATTGGAATGGGATTTTCTAGGTGCAAGTATGGCAGGCCTCACACACTTGGATGCATCTGTCTCTCAGGCGGAGATGAAATTGATTCCAACTACATCAGTGACAGCACTTCTAGCTTCACCTTTTCTTCCACTGACACAAAACACACTTACGCTGCCTTTCATTCTGTCCCTCATGCAGACACTATCAACGTAAGAGGTGACAATCATAACAACAAGATGTAAACTTACGCTCAAAGTCAGAATCCTCATCATCGTCGTCATCATCCCCGTTGGACTCTGTTTGCATGGGCTCTCCATCAAACATCACTCCTTTCCCCATCTTGCCACCAGCTCCGGCCCCATCCTGGCTTCTGGTTTCCCGCAAACGGGTGAAGTACTGTACTGCAAAATCCACCAAGTCTGAGGGTCTTTGTCGCAGCACCTCCACAGTGTACCCCTGCAGCAGTTCTGTCAACCCCACTGGTATCTCAATACTCATGGCTGTGTGTGGCTCAGTGGTGGCGTATGCTATCTATCTGCAGAAGGAAAGAAAATTAGTCAAAATGTGTTTTGGTACAGAGTCATACTTGTATCACAGGCTTGCTTAATAGTTGCTTTGACCAGCTGACTTTTACTATGGCGGTACAAAGTGTGCCCTGTGAATGTTAAGTGGCTGATGACTGCTCTACAGGGGAACTGAAAAGAATTGAAGCAACCTGGATAACTGAAATTATGTCCATCAAGTGTGACAGCTGAACAGATACTGCACTAGCATGTATGAAGGTAGTGTAATGACGTACATGAAGTGTTGCTGTGACATTGTCACTGAGCGGCCACTTATCTAGGGTTGAGCCAAGAACACACAGTTCCCACAGCTGCACCAGCAGATATGAAACCAACATTTACAAGAAGGGGAAGAGATAAACAGCTACATTCGCTGGGCTTCAGCGATATTACTACTCGGCATTGACAGAAACTGAGCTGTCAACTTGGGTGGTTTGCCGGCTCGAACTAGCTAGCAAAGCAGCTAATGTGGCTAATGTTCATGACAACTGGTTTACTGCCCTGTTCGATCTACATATAACTATACTTACATATATAACCTAGATAACAAACAAGTAATACAGCAAAGGTAAATGGGCTGTGTTTCAAGCGTTGTCTTACGTTAAAGGCATTGAGCATTAGCTTTCTTGCCACCTTCAATGAAGCCTTTACCGTTAGCTAAGCTCACGCTATAATATGGCGCACTGGCTGCAGGGAGCTAAGCCACAGATAAGTGGCCGGCTGGATAAACGTTACCATGCAAGCACAGCATGATGTCAAGCAACGTTAAGCTATAAACTAACCTAACGTTACTGTGAGACACTTACGTGAGAATCTGTCTCCCCGGCTAAACTAGCCAGTCCCCTCCTTCTTGGTGTCTTCCTTGTTCTCTCTTATTTCGTCTCTTCTTTTTAGCCAGTCTCTTTGCCAGTGTATCAACCGTATACCTCCACCGAAAAACCCGGTCCAACGTTAAAGCCAATAAATGTTACGAGTGTATCGCCGAGCTAGCGTTTTGAGGCTAGTTTAGCTCCCCAGCCAGCTGTACAGCGATGCTGGCTAAGTTGAGAGGAAAAAGCAGTCGACTTCACCGCTGCAGCCTCTTACGACGTCCACGCACTTGGGGAGGGTGGGACTTGCTGTGGCAGTATGGAGAGCTGGCTAGCGGCAGGCTAACTCGCAGAGCTGCTAACTACTTGTTAGCATCTGCCTGTTTGTCCTTTGATGTCAGCCTAGCGACTCCTCTCCTGGCGACACTGATAAGTCAGCTGCTGCAGCCAGGTGAAAACTCCTTAAATCAGCGTTTTGCCACACCACTTTTAAGTACAACCCCAAGTACCGACAAAAACCCTTTTTTAATTTTATTCCAGCAGTGTCGCGGCTAATTACATCAAGAGAAGCCTGCAGAAATTAACTGAACACACGTTTCTTCCCTCCCGGCGAAACACTCCGCACTACACTCAGGAATGAATTGCTGCCTGTAGCCAGCGTAAGGAGGCGTGGCTACTGAGTGAGCAGAGAGCGTTTGACATTGATTGACAGAAAGCAGGACCAATCCGAAAATAAGTTCTGCATACCCTAGCCAATTGGATATTGGCATGTAAATGAAGGCGGGATCAAAGGCAGAACCATATTCGTACTCTCAGAATAGGACCACACCCACTGAAGTGGCCTTCACAATTTGGCAGAGATCTCTAGAAATAGTAAAAAATAAAAATATATATACAACTAATTCAGGGAAACATGCCTGGATTTGTAAAGACTAAAGAGAAAAAGTGTTTGCTCTATTCTATAGTCTTTTCTAAGATGTATTCTTGAATGAGGGTGTGCTGCAAATAGTGTGATGAATTCTTGAAATAATACTTATGATGTGATATGTAAATAAAAACAATCCTATATAACTGACTTCTGAACTTTGCTGCTCTTTGACCTGCAACAACCCATCATTCCACACAAGTTTGTTTTATTAACTTTGCTGTGGTATGTATGACTGAATAAAATACATTACACATCGGTACAGCTGAAAGTCTGCAGCAGAATGCCTTTCTTGAAAACCCTATATCCTCGCTGTTATTTAAGTACGAAGATTACAATTCTCAATGTCTGGCCCTGATCCCTCATTCCCTTGTCTAACCCATCTTAGTGTAACCCTCTAAATTGCATCATAGTTCCACCAGTCCCTGCACATTTATTTCTATTTTTGTACGTGCAGCTTCAGTGCATTGGTGATTCTTGTGTCCTCTCACCATCTTCCCACTCTTGTTTACATTGTTTGTCTAGAGTCAGTTTTCCCCTGCTGAAATGAGCCTGTCTACGTGGAGCAGGATCACTGAGGGACGATCTACAGGTATCTATTCTGAGAGGTTTGCGAAGCACCACCACCGTCCATGTAGCATCTCCTCTCTTCCATTTCCGTTCCTCAGCTGTCACAGAGGTAAAGCCGTTGCCATGGCCACAGCGAGCTCCGATTTAATTCCTCTTACCTGATTCTGATTGGTTTAGGACTTTGTTTTCAACAAACACAGATGAGAAACAGAAGTCTAGGCTCCCTCTGCTGGGAGAATACACTCTGGTTATAACACATTATTTGAAAGGTTCCTGTCATGTTAAAGATAAAGATGTTAACCCAGAGTGTGTAACTGATTCCAAGCTGCTTCTTTAAACAACAGAACAAACTCCTCAAAATTAACCACATAATTAGGACAATTCTCAGTCTCGCAGGGTAGATAATGGTGGTTGATTATAATCAACCACCATTATCTACCCTGTGAGACTGAGAATTGCCCCGCTGATATATATTAGCTTGTGAACCTTCCCTTAGTCTTTGCTGTATTTGCTGTATGTGAATTAGCCCACAATAAGACTCATGGTAGCGTATCCCTCAAGGGAGTGCATTTTTCTGTGTAACCATTTCCCACAGGAACATAAACAAGTAGCAGTACAACCTATAGAGAAAGTGACAGATGAGTTTTCACATGTACAGCCGGGACTGGGGTCTTGGCTTTCCTAGAAGTGCCATCCTTTGGGAGTTTCTGCGAATGTGGTTCCAGTCAACTCTAAAAGTGTCTCAAGGAAAGCTAGCCTACATTTTCAGAGAGAGGGGGGAGGATAGAGAACATGGGTGAAGGAAGACACTTAGTGTACACTGTAGGCTATGTGGAGGTGTGCATAGACTGTGTGCGTTTTAGTATCTGTCATCTCCAAACATCTCCATCTGGGACCACTGACACACAGCCAGTTTTCCATTTAGGCGTTATCAGGTGTTAACATAAGGATGGACAAGGGTGAGGAGGATGAGAGAAAACAGACTGTGCTTGCAGTGTCTCAATGTATATAGGGAATAAAACAAAAGGAAAAAAGAGCCAGGAAATAATCTTAAATGACACTGATGGTGGTTTTATAACTGGAAGTTGTTATCAGGGGAAGTATTGCTCAGATTAAGTAGTAATGGAGGACCACCACTGAAGATATATGGCGTGCATCATGTGATTGATGAAAGGTTTTTGCTTTGGAAACTACGTCTATGGGTTGGGGGTAAGTACAATTAGACTTTATTACACCACAACAATTTCTTGCAATGCGATTTAAGGGCTCTGAAAACAAATAAAATATAGAAATAGAAATCTGTATTTGTTATCTTCAGCCACCCTCAAAACCAAATTGGTTCATTCATGTCTTGCCTTTTTGTACACACTGACACTACATTCAAACAACCGAGGCTGTCTCAAATTAATGTTGTGATACAACACCACCACCTACTGGCTGATGTGCGCCTGTTCAGACTCAAATCTCAATAGTTCTCAAATCTCAAAATGTTTTCCCGCATTGTTCTTAAATAATTTCACACGTAAAACATCACAGAAACCACAACAGCAATATTGTCCTGTCGCACCCAAATTCACCAGATCACTGGTCTGCAACGCATCATGAAAAATGTTTAGGATTCTGACAATATCTAACATAAAAAAATAACATTCAAGGAAGTTGAAGACTGTTATGAGGTGTTGTGCTGTCTCTAAAACAGACCCCAATTCACTTGATACCTTATTTAAATCACATTATCATTTATTATATATGTATTTCCTATAATATAATTATATGAGAAGGCTTTTCTCTATCACACTATATTGTATGAAAATTGTTTTTCATAACAGATCTGTGTTTTAAGCAAGATCTTTACCAGTAAGTAATTATGGACAGAAATATTATTTTTGTGCGCAATGATGAGGCATTTTCTTATTTGTTCTTAGTTCACAAACTGCAAATATTTGAGTCCTTCATTAGTGTTTGCTTGGATTAAATCTAAATAAAGTTTAAACCTTGAAACTAAAAAAGTGCAAATACAGCCTTTTGCATTTTGAAGGAGGTTCATAAATAGTAATCTCTCGTATTCACTTGTTTTTTTTAACAAAATCTCAACATGTACAAATGGAGAAAAGGCTGAATAACATTACCAAATAGGGCAGTCTAGAATAGACCCCATAAACACGTCTGGTTCTTTTGTATTACAAATCATTTTGTTGATATCATGTGATCAACAGAACTTCATGTTTTTGCTGGAAACTAATGGAAAAAAATGGTTAATTCACAAATGTGACAGTCATTACATTAACCAGATGAGGACCTCATCTGTAATGTGAAAAACGGTGTGTGCAGGCACACTTAAAATAAACAGGTGTTTAGTTATGAACTATATATCAGCATACACTCAGAAACTGATTGGACAGAAATTGACAGAGACAGATAAACTATAAATAGAAAGAGACTGACAGGAGAAAGACAAGCAGACAGACACAATTACTGAGACAGAAACTGATTTGACAACCAGGAAATGGAAAGTAAAGGAGAAACGGATCTGCTTAATGCAGCTCTGTACAGCTGATTTATATCAAAACACACTCTAATCGACTCACACACACAAAAACGCCTAGATAAATGTTCGAGATTGTAATAGGGCATAAACAACACTAGGCCACAATCCAAAAATAAAGGACAATTCATATTCCCATACAAATCTTTTATTTGGGTGGAATGCTTATTTTGCTGTTTAAGTCAAAACCTGATACCAGCAGTTTAGTCCTCAAAGATATTTGACAACATTGTCTTTGATTTAAAATGTAACAGAATGTTTAATGAAAGCAGGTCCAGGTCATTTTGTAAGTGGAGATACCTCAAGATTCATGCGAAAGTTCCTGAAAAGTAAATGGGAAAGAAGTAGAAGATTTCCCCAAACCTGTAGCAATAACACCCTGTTGATAAGATCTTGTTATAAAACTGTTTTTAATATCAGATGGTTTAAACATTTATAGTTCTCTGACAAACTGCACAAAGACGCACAACGCCGACTTAAACCCACAGTAGTAAAATACTCTCTATGCATAATCATATCAGAATTATTGTCATACATTTTTGCGATTGCGGACTGTACATACTTACAACCTTGAACAGTTTCCATCGAAAAAAAGTATTGTGGACTTTCATGTAGCATAAAAAGTAAAAATGACAAAATATGACTATGGTTTATGGTATAAAAAGTGCCTTGTCATGATGTGTAATCAATATATAGTAGCCTATACATAAAAGGAATACCTATAAATACTATAGAAGATAGAAGATTTGTAAAATACATCGCATTCTTCATTTTTGTATTTCCATCAAGGGTTGTTAGCAATGCTATGCTTTTATACACTGTTTTACAATTAGGTTAAGTAATCAAGCAGTCTGGCCACTGTACATCAACATTGTTTTATGTTATTAAAAGTAGCAAGATTTGAATGTTTTTGCTCCAAAGTGCAATGTCAACCATTACAAAATGGCATCATAAACTACACGTATAGATTAGATTTAAATGGGAGGATGTGTGAATTAATTACATTACATGATGAATTCAAGGTAGAACCTTTTTTCATGCATTCACAGCATTTTGGAGAAGTCCTCTTCAATTCTTGCTGTCTGTTTGAGCACTGCCACTAGATTTAATTCATGCAAAGTGCACTGAATCATTCCAGCGCACTCTAATCTCATAACATTACAGAAAGACTGGCCTGTGCCCATTAGTCCTCCATCATATATAACAAGCTCTTTTCTTAGAATTCTTTCCTTTGTATTTTCTCTACTTACTTAACATAGAACTTCACTCATAACATAAAAGAGGTATTAACAGTGAAGTGAATTATTACATATTAACAGAGCAATGCATCTGTACATGGCTATCTCTCAGTATGACAACATCCACCACTTTCAAATCAAAACAAGGGATAGATGGGGGCAAAAACATAGAAACTCCCTACAATTCGAAATAAATCATTACAAAATTGTAATGTTGTGTTGTCAGTAACAGCAGAGAAGCCTGATTTAAATTCAGAGTGTCTTATTATTCAATGCGGCCTGCGACGCTAATTGTTTGCTCTCTCATCTCCGCGCTCGCACCAAAGGGAATCCTCACAGCAGCGAACTGAACAACCAGCTCTGAA